GTACCCTCTTTCTTAAGATGACAGACATCTTTGCAAGTGGAAACAAAAGTTTTGCACCTTATTTCAATCCATAGAAATGCACAGCAGATTCAAATTAAATTTAACTTAAAGGGTCTATATCCAAATAAATAAGAGGACTGAAATAAGGAGCAGATATTGGGCAAAATTGGGCCCCTGGTAGTGATTATTACCCTTGTAGAGTTTTTCCATCCTGGTACCCTGGCTCAGACTCTTATGTCTGGATCTTTTAAAGGGGCCGGGGAGGGTTGGGCAAGTATTATTTTCAACACTTCAGATTAAACCCTGCTACAGCTCTCTGAGGCCTTACTAACATAGACCCCCTGCTGGGTTACAGCAAAATTAAATTGAAAAAAGTACAAATAAAAGCTGTAACTGGGAAAATAGTGTTAAATCAGAGGTGGAAATTGCAAGTGTGACACTGAGATGCTGTGATGACGTCTTTGGAAAGGTAATAATTAACGGTGTCACCTTTTTTACAACATAGAGGAAAGAGAATTAAAAATTTTGTATGATGACAGATTTGAAGTCAGGGCTTGGCTTCATTGGTTTAGCACATTAAAATACAGAAAGATTGAGCGAAATGATCATGCCAAGGCAATTTTAAGCCACCAGAACACATTGTCTTTGTAAAGGCTCCATTTCTCTCCATTTTCCCTTGTACTTGAGTGTGCTACAGTTATAGAGGTATCAAGTTCATGCATACATAAAAATTTTATTTTGATAATCAGTGCGTCACTTTTTGTCAGAGGGTAAAAATCTGAAGCAGAGAAATCTTAAAAATAATGATATCAAATTAAAATTCTTAGTTTTGAGTTGTATAGCAGGGTATGTACAAGAATATAAAGGGAAGTGTTAAATACTATGTTGTTGACAGGGTAATTATAGACATTTGATTGCACTGCGTATGCTGCAGATTGTTATTTTACTACCTGTTTCATATGTTAATATATGTATTTGTGCATTTGTATATAAATATGTATTTATTATTTTCGTTTACTTTCGTTCTACATAATCAAACCAAATTGTTTGTTTTTATTTCTTTTTTTCCCGTGGATCGAGAAAGAGTAGCGTGAACAAAACATTGCATGACATCCCTTCTCTCTCCCCTGCGTTTCCTGAGCTGTCACTCTCAAACTAAGGGAGCTGCAAATTTGGGTGATAATTCTCTGTAGATAATATATGATCTAATATTAATGTTTTTAGCTGAAAATAAGAAATTGTTGTGTTTTTGTTACCTTATAACCGGCTTATTCAACTAGCTGCCAGTAGGACACATTCGGCCCTAAAGCAGCCTTTAAGTGGCAGTATTTAAAGTTAAAGAATATAATATTCTGCACTACATTGAGAAACACTACACTTTCCAGATAAACTTAAGAACGGTTTTAAGTTTGCTGCTAAAAATGTCTGGCCCATCTAGATTTCCTGGATGGGCCAGACACACAGTAGACCAGAACTACTGTAGAAACATGGTATTGCTGCCATCGTAGTTTCTCCTATATGCTTGGAAGGTGAGCTGTATTCAGTTGGTTGTAACTACTGAATCCTACACACTGGTCCTTTAAGGGGTCATAAGAAAAAATGTTTGCCTCCTACAAAAAAATTCTGTTTCCTACATTAACTCATAACAGACTTGATATGCATCAAATGTTTCATTAATATGTGATAACTGTTGTGGAGTTAAAAGTATAATAGTTCATAATCAGAATTATGGAAGTAAAGTCAAAGTAAACCAGAATAACTGCATCCATAATTTAGGTCAAAATAAACACAACATCAGTTATATTGTCTGTGTTCTTAATTAAATATGTCCTATATGACTTTTATTTTGCATAGAACAATAACAGGCACCATCCATGCCACCCATTTTCTTTTCTGTCTCACACGCACACACACACACGCTCTGTTTCTCTCATTTAAGATGCTTCTGGAAGCAAATGAGTGCCAGGCAGTACCAGTCCACTGACGGTTGCACTCGCCAAGGCCTGACAAACAGGGACGGTGGCTGCCCCCTGCCCCTCCTCACAGCACTCGGGCTGCAGGCAGCTGAGAGGAAGAGCGGCCAACAGATCAACAGTTGCTGTGACGTTGGTTGAGCGACTGGCCAGGCTGCTGCACACCACCCAGCCCACATTCAGGGCACCTGACCCTGGGTAAACTGACAAATGCCTGGCCTTTGGGTGCGCCTGCAGAGTGATGTGACCCTGAGGGCGTTATGACCTTGCAGCACTAGGCACAAACACACACACATAACTGCAATTAGAGCCACCCTCTGCCTTATGTTATCAGTCACAATGTTTTTCAATCACCTGACCAAGTACACTGTGTTTGCACCCACACTTTTCAGTTCAGACTGACTTATTGTCATGGAAATGGCACAACTCTAAGAATGCTTGCACCCAGGAACGAGTGCTGTAATTTGTTCCTAATTAATGAATGTTGAAATGATTCGATGCATTCTTGACAGCTGAATAACACAATTACTTTACTGTTCATGACACTGGAAAGAAAGCTTTCATTTGATCACTGCCTTGTTAGTTTTAGTAAAGAAAAAGCACATTTGTTGTCGATTTGCCTCAACAGTTTGTATACGCAGATTATGTGACTGTGCTGCCATGTATGTATGTTGGCATAGACACACACAAGCATATTGTACACAAGTACACATGATAGCCTCGTAATTTACAGTACACTCGTTGGGCATATTTAACTCATCTTGACAAGGCTGTTAATTTCTCTGAAACCAGGGACAGATTCCAGTGACCCTTTCTATCCATGTCCCCTATTCCCTCCAAAATGCCCAGCTGTTGCCATAGTAGACAGCTGCTTTAGGGGTAGAACTAATCTCAGCTGTCGAGGGGGTTGGTGGATTTTGGGGTTTGTATTCCCTCAAACCAATGACATTCCCTCATGACCAATGACTCTGCTCCCTACTCTGCAGTGAGAAGGGTGGAGTGTGGAAAAATGCTGACAGACTGCAGATTTATAGGGACAGAAACCAGAGGCTACAGCTGTCTGTGTGTTTACAACCAAACTGATCAGTACCTCTGAACTGGGGAGCTCTGGGGTCAAATAAATGACATGCCCTAAAAAAGTCGTTACACAATAACAAAAAAGTTGTGACTCTGCCATTGCCAAATCCAGTAAGAAATTAACATACTGTCAAATTCCATCAGCTGCACAGAAACCCTGTCAACCTGTGTATTGTTCTGGCGTTTCTGTGTTGGTTTCCATTCTGTTTAACTTGCATACATTAAACGGAGCTGCCTCTTTGAGAGTTTAGCCTGGTTATTCATGCTACACATTGTTAGGGTCAGAGGTAATACAAGCTCACTTCAGTCTCATGTTGTGGGGAGCAAACAAGGTCTCTGGGCTATGATCTTTGAGCAGTTTCTAATGAGCCTGGACAGCCTGGCACTTGATCAGAAAGGCAGTTGTATTATACACAAATTTCACATTGCATAACAAACTAGATTACAGAGCTGGGAAACAACAGCATCTCATTACTGGCCACAGAGGATCAGGGTCTAATCAGAATATGCTGCTGTTCTTTGTTGCAAATGTAAACAATATGTGGACCCTGCCACAAAGTGACATCCTCCATGTTATAGAGAGACGTTTGAATTATGTTGTGAATTATAACGGGTGTGGGTATAAGTCACAGAGAGGCCAGTGGCCATCGTTTTGACTGTTCTGCTCTGATCACAACCAGCTTGTTGATGGAGGCTTGAGGAAGCTGAAAAACAACTGTAGCCTATATGGAGGCCTACTACTCATTATAAAGACCCACTGTATACGAAAATCAAATCAAATTTCCTTCATATAACTGCGTATATGTGACATTTGTTGTTGCACTTTCCCTCTGTATTACAGCCAGCCTACCCTATACTAGAGTTTTTTTTCTGTTTCTGTTTAAAACAGTGACCTGATTTGACCATTTAAATAATATTATAATAATCCGTTTTATCTGTTTTGGGGATACCTACTAACTTGAACTTTACTCCGCTCTTCTCCCCTGTTTCATGTCTGGCTTTGTATCTTGTATTCTTACATCGCCCTCTTGTGGTGCTTTATTGAAATCACGTCTCCAACACGCTCCACAGGTGGCTGTTAGTTATTCATTTCAGCTTTTTCCCCCTCAACGCCATATCAATAATTCTCATGCTAATAGAAGCAGATTACTTTGATCGCTTTCATTCAACTGCTGACGGCACATCACATTTTTATAATTAGTCATGGCCTCCAGCTACGTCACATACATGCATAAAATAATCTAAAATATGAAAGCCATGAATGAATAAGTGAGAAAGAAATAGTCCGTGTCGTCATGAATATGCGTAAAAGTAACAATTAAATGGCATCAATCATAATAATTCATTAAAATATTCACATTTTTTTCACCCTAACAGAGTACTACACAACAGAAATGATGCGTGCCTGAAAGAGAGGTCGCTCTAAATGTGTCATCTTTGCACTGCAGTATATGCACCTTCTTTTGAAGGTTTAGGCTTAATTCCATTAACCAGATTATTGCAAGAAAATATCCACAGAGAAACACATGCTGAGAAGAAAAAAGATGCTTCTTTTGACTCACAATAGTATCAAGTAATAAGTGTTGCACCCATGAGGATAAATTAAGTCTTCCTCAAACTTCAGGGAAGAGGAAGAATTTAATCATCATACAGTATTTGCACAGCTGTTTTTCAGCACCATGGACAGCGTCCCGTGCCCTCTATAGTCCCTCATAATAATCAGATAGTCCTACTATTGTTACCATGTCAACGGATACGTTAAATCAGGTGGTGACACGGCCTTAAAAGTTACCACAGTCTCCACAATAGATCCATAAAATGAATCATTGAGGGTTACACTTGGTTTATGATGTGAAGATCAGGGCTGAGGCTTTTTTTTTTTCCTAAAAGGCGCCCGAGTGTCCTGATTGTTTTGCGCTCAAGGTGGAGTTTTCTGCCACATCACCGCTACAGCGCGCAGTGCTGAGGCTGTTGTCCTGAAAAGAGCAAGCTTGTCAGGAGCAGGAAGCGACAGAACAACAACGGAAGCGAGAGCAGTTTCTTGCATCTCGGGACAATTTCAGCCCTACTTTGTGTGGAGAGGTGTCGAGGAACATGCGTTCAACGCGCAAGTGAAAAAAAACAATCTGCTAATTTAAGTTCCTCCCTGCTGCAACTTTTCAGTCCTTTACCTTGTGCAGATTCGGACAAGATTTGTTTTTTTGTTGTTGCTGTTGTTTGCTTAAGCAAGGATTCATAAGATACTTTTTTGAAATCTTGAGAAATGTCTCGCAAGAAGGCTGTCAAAGGCAAAGCCGCAACCAGCAGCCCGTCTGCGGGCAGCCCCACCGGGAAAGGGACCGGGAAAGCTGCAAAGAGCAGCCCGGGCATTGTTCAGATGAACGGTGTGGTCCATCCCAGCAGACCCTCCATCAGCAACAGCAGCGAGTTTTATGACATCGCTTTCAAGGTAAGATGCCTGCTCCTGTTGATGTATGTGCAACAAACTGCAACTCACATAAAAGTGTCTTATGTATATATGTATGCACCAAAACATATCACAGAAATAATATAAGGCGATATTCAGATTGTTATGAAGCAGCCACAGAGGTCACTATAAACTCTACACTGAGTAAATGATGTGTGTGTTTTATTTGCCAGTGTTGTTTTCCTGTTTAGCTTTCATTGTCTTTCGTTACGACCACCTTTATTCATTAAACAGCAGCGAGCTCCTGACAACCAGCTGTGTCAATAAAACGATCGATAACCTGGAAAGGTGCACACACCGCCCTGCAACAGCCAACAAACAAATCACTTAGTGCAACTGGTTGAATGCATGTTTGCCTCGGTAGCACAAGGTTTCAGGCTTTGCATTTTCAACTGGCATGCTTCACTTAACCATAATGTGAGCACTTGAGTGAGTAGAGAACTGTCACTTCTCCACAACACAAACACAGATTCACACCCACAGATTCTCAGTATGTACTCCCAACATAGCTTCAAGGGACTTGTGCTACCTACTCCATGTTTTTTGAAGCAGCTGTTTGATGTGAGTGCAAATGGCTTTGTGTTGCTCTTTTTTTGCTGAACAATTGAATTGAATTGATTGTTGCACCCAAGCAAACCCACTATTAACTGCAGATATTCTTATTTCATTAATTGTTATTTGTGGAGTGCAGGGATGGCCTTGTGTACAGTATGCATCATCCTTGCAGCCAATAGATTCATTATTGCAGAAAAAAGTCACTCTCATGTACATGTTTAGGCAGGAATCCATAAACCCTTCATTGTCTCTCTAAATAATTTCTAGATCAATCTGTAATGTTTAGTTTAATGTTGCAAGACTGGATGGAATAGATCCCAAGCTGTAGCCTTAGGGATACCTTATTGAATGTGGAGCTTTGCAGGGATTAACTTGTACTGTATCCCTCTTTCTGTAAATGTAAAAAGAGCACGCCAATTGTAGGGCTTTGTGCCATGTTTCACCATTTCCCTCTGATCGTTATCCTGCATTGAGTCGGTGAAGAAATTGATTGCATTTTATTTATAAAAACCTAAGGGCAGGGAGAGGCCAGGTGCCTCCTCCTGCATACTCCTGCAAACATTTAGCTCCTGCAGTTTAAGGGAGAAGGCATGAGATGATAGAAGAGATACATAGATTTTTTTTAAAAAGACAAAAGTAGAAACAGTGAGCATAGGGAAATATTACCCGTTGCCACATTTTATACTTGTTCCGTGACCCTGTTACATCCCTTCATTCTTCCTCCTTTGTCTTTCATCTCATCTCTCTGCTTCCTCTGTGCACCCAAGAGGCACTTTTGGATTTCCATGGTCTAGGGCTCACGGTCCCTCTGCTAACCTGATAACAGTAATCACATCAAACCTTTAACTTCATCACAGCTCAGAATAAAAAGAGAAAGGCAAGGCTGTGTGTGCAGCAGGGATGAAGCCATAGTATGTCTGTTTTTTATATGTGCACACACATGCATGGATGTGCATTTAAGATGGTTGTATACATTTTACAGAAAGGATCCATCCACTGGCGGCTGTGATGAGCACTCACACATATACCATCTTCACTGCCAAGCACCAAAATACCAGGACTTATTTAGCTGAATGATTCAAATGTTCTGCTTTTTCAATTAATCAGAGACTGAAATAAAATTAAACATATGAGCAAATGCCACCTCTTGTTCATGCTCCTACATGTTTTGCTAGTTATTTCAGTTCCGTCTGACATTTACCTTTATCGATTAGTCAGACAGTCTGAAGTTTTATCCCCCACACCTCTGGTTGTACATTTTTGTGCATCTTAGTTTTAGCCTTTCAGCCATTCCCGGCTGAGTTTTTCCCTCTTGGTTTCCTGTGCAGGTGATGCTGGTTGGAGACTCTGGCGTGGGGAAAACATGTCTACTGGTCCGTTTTAAAGATGGAGCTTTCCTGGCTGGCAGTTTCATCTCCACTGTGGGCATTGACTTTAGGGTGAGTCTAAATCAATGGGACCAAAAGCAAACAAGCAAAATCCGACAAATCCCCCACACACATTTACATTCAAACACATTTTTGTGTGTGCATATATGTACACGTTTTTATTAAAATGGGGCCATATGTACCAAAGGGATTTTTTTTCAAAGCTATTCAGTGTCTTTATATGTCACAGAGCTATGAGTATTTCCTGTGTTAGAAATCTCACTAGATAGGATATTGATTTCTTAAATTAGATTGACATGCTTTACTTTTTTTTGTCTCCCTGGGTGATAATTTTGTCTGTCATGTGCCAGTTTTGTGATCCCACATGGGCAGACAGGAAAGAACTTCACCACCTTTTCCAACGGTCACACTCAGGTGTGTCTGTCTGTCCAAGAGACAGAGATGGACGATCCCTCAGCAACACTAAGAACCATGGTGGCAAAAAGAGACAGTTATCTCCCTGTCTACAGGCTCTAAAGGGTGGTGACAGCTACAGTCACGGATATGACTAAACTACTACCTTTAATCACTAGGCTTTTTAATTTATAAGCCAGTCTTTATCTCTGTATTTGAGAGGTGTTAATAGTAGTAGCAGATTTAGCATTGCACTCCTGTAACATTAGCAGACAATCAAAATCAACTCAGAAGAAACTGCCATTTCTATTCCATGCATAGTCTTTCCTTGTCAAAACCTAGCGCCTACTTAACCCACAATGAAACACGACCAGCAACAGTTCGATCTGAGATTTGGGTGTGTTATGCT